GTCAGCTGCTGGGCAGATACGTGATGCATGTGTGTCCAAGTGTAGGTTTGTGTTCGTGGGTGCAGTACCCAGAGGCCAAAGGCATCTGATCCCCTGGAGTTACAGGCAGTTGTGAGCCGCCTGACCTGGGTACTGGGAACCAAACCTGAGTCCTCTGCAATAACAGCCCTAACCACTGAGCCATCTCTCTAGCCCCTTAATTTGATTTTAAGAGCATAACTTGTGTTGAAATGCTTCAGCTTTAATGACCCCATTTGCCAGGACTGGGTAGACACCTGACTGATAAAATAGAAGGCCCCAGGCACGCAGACCAATGCGTGACAAATGCATGCTTCTACAGCACCCCTCACCCTGAATCTCTGATCCTCTTGCTTTCACTTCCTCCTCCCCACCAGAGTGCTGGGATTATAGGGTGTGTCACCACGGCTGGTTTATGGGGTACCGGGACTCAAACCCAGGGCTCCAGGCATGCTAGGCAAGCACTCTGCTGACACCACTGCATCCGCAACACCTCTCCTGCTGCTTTGATAAAACCTCCACCCCAGCAGGATCTATCAGATCCATGCTCAGGCTCAAGCTTTAGGCCAGCCTAGTCTACATGTGACCCTATCTAAAACAAAAAATGGGGCTGAGGGGGTTTCTGAGAGGAGTTAGGGGAATCTGTAGGGAGCAAATATGATCAACACAGACTACACAGGTATGAAATTCTAAAAAATTAATGTAAAATATTTTTTAATATGGGAGACATTTAACAGAGTTGGATTTTTATTTACTCAGAGCCAGATGTATTTGTTTTGACAGAACATCTTTTTCAATATTTTTTATTTTATGTGTATGAGTGCTATGCTTGCACGTATGTAAGTACACCTGTGTTGTGCAATGCCCTCAGAGGTCAGAAGAGGGCATTGGATCCCTTGGAACTAGAGTTACAGATGGTTGTTAGCCACCTTGTGAGTGCTGGGATTCAAACCTGGGTTTCTGCAAGAGCAGCCAGTACTCTTAACCACTGAGCCATCTCTCCAGCCCCAAGAGTAGAACATCTTGAAAACATTTTTGTATCAGTTAAAAAAGGACTTGTGAGGCTGGAGAGATGGCTTAGTAGTTAAGAGCATTCACTGTTCTTGCAGAAGACCCAAGTTTGGTTCCCAGCCACCCATATCAGGTGGCTCACAACTGTCTATAACTGCACCTCCAGGGGATCTGAAGCCCTTGTCTGGCCTCTGCAGGAACCTGTACACAAACACACACTTATAATTTAAAATAAAATCTTTGTTTTAAAGGATCTGCCTAATGCAGGGTGAGATGGCTTACACCTTTAAATCTCTGCACTCAGGAGGCAGAGGCAGGCAGATCTCTGTGAAATTAGGACTAGCCTGGTCTACATAGTGAGTTCTAGGCTAGCTGGGGCTACAGGGAGACCTTGTCTCTAACAACACCCCCATAAAAAACAGCTTAAGGGAAGAGCAAGTGGATCTCTGTGAGCTTGAAGCCAGCCTCATCTATATAGCAAGCTCCAGGCCAGTAAGGGCTACATAAGACTCTGTCTTAAAAAAAAAATAAAAAATGAAAATAAGCCAGGTGTGGTGGCACATGCCTGTGGTTCCAGCACTTGGGAGGCAGAGGCAGGCAGATCTCTGTGAGTTCAAGGCCAGCCTGGTCTACATAGTGAGTTCCAGGACAGCTGGAGCTACAGGGAGACCCTGTCTCAAAAAGACCAGAAAAAAAAAAAAGGAAGAAAGGAAAATTTCAATGATCTTGGCAGAAGGGAGTGAGAATAGAGAGCCAAAAGTCCTTCTATGTTGACCCTGTAATTACAGTTTTGAATATAAAAAACATGTGTTTTCCCCTAAGAACTTGGGATTATGTTTGAAGTACCAAGGGAGGGAGGGAAGAAGAGAGAGGCCAGTGATGTACCCTGGAGTGGAAACCAGCTCCGGTGACTGAAGGTTGAGCCCAGAGCATCTGTTTCTTTACAGTATTTTCAGAGCTCGAATTAGGGGTGGGCCCCTCGGGGTTGTTCTGTCCCCAGCATCTGTGGTCTTGGGAATCAGGCCTTTTCTGGAACTGATGTAGCCTCCAGACTTAATATTTATCCAAGAGGTTACTTTTCAGCAGCCCCACTTTTCCTTTTCAGTGATAAGCGGAGTCATGTAGGACAAAAGAGGGGCCACCCAAGATATCCTGACCTCAGGGTCCTAAGAATCTGGCCACACACATGTGGTGAGGGTTTGTTTTAAGTTTTTTATATTTTTAATTATTTTTATTTTATGTGTATGAGTGTTTTGCCTGCATGTATCTAAGTGCACCTGTGTTGTGCAATGCCTGTAGAGGCCAGAGAAGGGCATCAAACCCCCTGGAACTGATGTTAGGACAGTTGTTAGCTGCCATGTGGGACTAGGAACCAAACCCTGGTTCTCTGCAAGAACAGCCAGATTTTATGTACTTTTATGTGTATGAATGTTTTGCCTGCATGTATGTGAGTGCTCTATGTGCATGCAGTGCCCCTGAAGGCCAGAAGAGGGGGTCATGTCCCCCAGGAACTGGATTTACAGATGGTTGTTAGCTACAATGTGGGTACTGGGGTATGAGCAGCCAGTGCTCTTAACCTCTGAGCCATTTTTTCAGCCCCAACATGGTGTTTATAGATTTGGATCTTGACAGAGAGGCACAGAAGCCTGGATACAGAGGACCTCTGGACACTTGAAAAGATTGGGACATGGGCTGGGAAGATGTCTCAGTGGGTTAGAGTGTTTGCTCTGCAAACATGAAGACCTGAGTTCGAATCCCAGTGACCATGTAAAAACATTGGGCATTGCTGCATGTCCTTATAACCCCAGCATTGGGGGACGACAATGGGCAGATGCCAAGAGCTCTTTGGACAGCCAGCCCACCCTAAAAAAGGAGCTTCCAGTTCAATGAGAGACCCGTCTCAAGGAAATAAGGTGGAGAGTGCTGGCGGAAGACTCCTGAGGGCACCTGCTCTGGCCTCCACATGGGCATGTGCGCCTGCATACTGACATACATGCACCACACACACCACACTATACATACCCACAGACACCACAAACACACATACCACACACATCACACACACACACACACACACACACACACACACACACACACACATATAAAGGTCACAACAGAAAAGGTGCAGCTGTAGAATGGTGCCATGGAGGGCCAGGTCTCCTGGTCAGGGACATCATACTGTGGCCTGATGACATTACACAGGAAGATTCAATATTCTCTCTTTAGAGTACAGGGGTCCTGTTTGTTCCAGTTTTTATGGAAACAGCAGTGGTGAGTCAGATGGGACAGAGGACAACTGTCCCATGAGGGGACTGTGGGTTCTCACTAAGCTTCCTTTGAAGGAATGGATCACTAAGTCCCTAAAGGACTTGAGGCAGGTCTGTCTATAGGGGTGTCCGACCCAGTGGAGAGGGCTCCCAGCACAGGGCGGTCAGTGCAAGGCCAGACCGGTGCACGGTCAGATTCCACGGGTGTACCTTCTAGACTCCTGTGAGGCCCAGCCACTGGAGGGAAGGCGGATCTCTAGCAGAGAAGATGGAAGGAGCAGGGGCTCACCCATAAATGCCATGAGGAAAGGCAGGCAAGCAGGGAACTTTACAGTTAAGAGCACTCCTGATGACATGTGCAGATTCAGCCCCAATGAGCTGCCACCAGCTGTGCCACATGCTGGGAGCCATGACTTGGAAGATAAGATGGTGAATTTCATAGTATGCCACAGTCATGGAGGAGAGAGAGAAAGCGCCACATAATGCCTTGCTTTGCTGTTTCAGACAGAGGATAAAAGGTGAGACAGAAACAGTCCTTTCTCAATATGGGCTCTAGCAGATGGGCCACCTTGTCCCAAGCCTTCAGATGTCACCAAAGAGTCACTTTGGCTGGGAACCATCAGTTGCAAATGGAAGAGGACCCTCCACTGAAAGGTCTTCAAAGAGACTGGGCCACTCATCTCTGAAGCCTGTAGTTGTCTGTGGGATGCAGAGACCTGTGAGTTCCACCTGAGTACCCCTGGCTGGGACCAATGAGACGTCCCCAAGCCTCGGTACAGTCTTCTGAGAGTCCCAAGGCAGAGCTAGAATGGTCCCAGAGGAAATGTAGGCCCTCACTCCATGGATGGTGGCCAGTATAGCCAGCATACATTCAGGTACTCCTTGGGGAGCAGTCTAGGTGTTCACTGTTTCTGACCTCATTCATATGAGGTTCACCGAGGACCCCAAGTTCGGAGAAAGAAGCAAGGCAGAGGTGAGATTCCCCAGCCCCCATACAGGGCCCAGAACACCACGTAGCAATGGCGACGACAAGCCGATGACACGGGCAGAAAAAGAACTCACCAAGTCAGAAAAAGGCAGTGGAAAATTCGTTAGGAATACAGAGGTATTCAGTGAGCCACAGCAGGCAATTAGGTCAAAACTGTTCGCACAGAGGCATCCCAAGGAGCTGCTTTACTGGGGAGGTTCTATGTGGGCAGTCAGGCAGTGTTTCTGTGTCCATTCAAGTTAGGAGTTATCACGATCAGTACGCAGGCCTTGAGGCCATGACAGTCCTGCCCTGAATCAGAAATGGCTCAGGGGCCTATGAATTGGCTCAACAGGAAAAGGTGCTTGTTGCCAAGCCTGATGATCTGAGTTCAGTCCCTGGGACCCACATAGCAGAAGGAAGCTCCCACAAGCTGTCCTCTGGCCTCCACATGAATGCACACACAAACATACAACAAATATATAAATACATAAACAGATGTAAAACATTTAAAAATAGCTCAGCAAAACCACTACTCCTAAGCTAGCATCCTCAGGAGTATAGGAGCAGTGTGTAGGTTGGGAGAGAGAGGTGACCCCTTCCACAGCCTCTGCCGTACCTGCTTCTCCCTCCCTGGACCTCTCCCAGGGGCAAGCATCCTGGAGTGGGGTCCAGAGCAGGCTGAGACCAGAGGAAACTAACTGCATCTTCAGCCTGTTTCCTTCCTTGTTGCACAGGAGCACGAGTCTAAGTGAAAACATATTCCGCTTCCAGTTTAACAACCAGCAACGGATCAAGAAGCCCCACCGCAGCAGGAGGACCTACCTGTGCTACCAGCTACAGTGGTTTGATGGCCGAGAGCCACTCCGAGGCTACCTTCAAAACAAGGTGCCAGACAGGTTCTCAGAGCCAGAGCACAAGGTGGCTAGGGACTTGCAAGTCACACACACCATGGGGTCCCAAGTTTGCCACTTTCACTCCCTCTTTCTTACCTGGTGGGTCCGAGCCCCGGGTCAGCACCTTCTTTCTTTCCCATTCCTAGAGTGAGCTCTTCCCACTACTCATGGTGCAGTTAGTTTACCATCCTCCCAGCTCAGCTTGGTACTGCCTTGGAGAACAAAGTGCTGTTCTAAGAAGCAACCAGGCTGCCTGACCCTCTTTCCTTCTCACACCAACCTGCCCTTGGGTTGACTGAAATATCTTTGGACAGCTCCTAGGCCAGCACCCTAAAGCAAGGTCCTAGAGCTTTGGGGAGCACGACTTGAAGGTGTCACCAGTTTGCTGATTCCTTTCCTCTGGGCACCTGGGATCCTTGTCTGATTTAGAAAGGTGATGGGAAGGAGCCTTGGGAATGTCAAGTTAGTGGGTGACTGGAAAGAAGGGGCTTTCCCTGTGTGGGCAAGACTTCCCACACTAGGAAGTTCACAGAACCGAGCCCCTCCCTTCCAACCTTACCCCCAGTCACATGTTTGGCCTCTGCCTTCCAACCCTTTCTTCTCTGCTTGGAACTTGCTCCAGAGAGCTAAGCATGCAGAAATTCTGTTAATTGATATGATGCGTTCCATGGAGCTGGGCCAAGTGCAAATCACCTGCTACATCACTTGGAGCCCCTGCCCGACCTGCGCCCAGGAACTGGCTGCGTTCAAACAGGATCACCCAGATCTAGTGCTGCGGATTTATGCCTCCCGCCTGTACTTCCACTGGAAGAGGAAGTTCCAGAAAGGGCTGTACAATCTATGGAGAGCTGGGGTCCACGTGGATGTTATGGGCCTCTCAGGTAAGAAAGAGGGACCACAGCTACCAGAGGGCAAAGGAGGTTTCACAGCTCAGAGGACAAGCTATAGCCAGATGTCTGGGGGAGAAACTGGGCAGGAAGGGTGCTGGGCCAGCTAAAGCCAAAGATTTGGCTCCATCCCAAAGGTGGAATGCCCTAGGAGAGAAAGGTGGGATGAGAAAGGAGATCTGCCCTGGTGTGTTCCCTGCAGCGACCTGGAGCCTCACTGGCTTCCCCTCTCGTCTATCGTAGAATTCACTGACTGCTGGACAAACTTTGTGAACCAGCAAAAGCCCTTCAAAGCCTGGGACAGGTTGGAGGGAAACAGCAGGAGCATAGGACGGCGGCTGTCAAGGATCAGGGAGGTGAGCCCCCATCTGTCACAGGCCCCACATCCTGCTGCAGGCCCGGCCCTGCTGCAGACTCTGCCCCCTGCTGCATACCTGACCTCCCTACTTCCCACTGCCCAGCTTTGGCTCCCCCCACTGCCACCACCTGTCTTCTCTAGACCCTCCTCTTTCATTCCCCTCTCCCACCAGGGACCCCCAGTTCTGCTTTCTCGCCCTCAGCTGCTCTTGTCACCTCTGGTTTTGTCCCAGTTCTTTCACCGGCACACCCTAATTTCTCTCTCAACAGTCCTGGGGCCTGCAAGATGTCATAAACAGCTTTGGAAACCTACAACTTACACCTCCGTTGCCCTGAGTGGCAAGAAAGTATTCAAGGCAGATTCCAGAGCATCGCCAGGCTTCCTAATCTGCCCCAACCCTAGGTCTGGAAGACCCTTCTTCTTTCATTCATTCTGTTCGATCTTCTAAGTGGGTGCATGATTTTATAACAGAAAAACATTAAGGTGGCATAATAGGTCGTGACTGTGATCCCTGCACTTGAGAGGCTGAGGGAGATTTGTCACAAGTTTGAGGTCAGTCTGGCTACAGAGTGAGACCTTATAAACCTGAATTGCTTTCTGAGATTGTTTCATTCATAAAAATGAAAATAAAGGATTTCTACTCTACAAAAACAAGAAAAGGGGCTGAGGGACGGCTCAGTGCTTAAGAGCTTGCTGCTGCTGCAGAGGACAGGAATTTGTATCCCAGCACCCATGTTGAGCTGATCACAACTGCCTCTAACTCCAGCCCCAGGGGATCTGATGCCCTCTTCTGGACTCTGGAGGCACACACATGTGCACACACTCAGACACACACATATATACATTTTTAAGGGTTGTGGGGGGCTGGAGAGATGGCTCAGCAGTTGGAGTTCATATTGCTTTCTCAGGGGACCTGAGTTTGATTCCCAGCACCCATGTCAGGCTCCTCACAGCAGCCCCTAACTCCAGCACTGCACAAACTCACACAGACACACACACACACACACACACACACACACTTTAAAAATAAAAAACTTCAAAAACAAGGAAAACATGGGGCTGGAGAAATGGCTCAGTGTTTAAGAACACTGGTTGTTCTTGCAGAAGAACCCACATGACAGCTAACAACTGTTGGTAACTCCAGTCCCAGGGGATCTGACAGCCTCTTCTGACCTCCATAGGCATTGCACAACATGGGTGCACTTACTTACAGGCAATACATGCATACACATAAAATTTTTAAAAATTAAAAGGGAAACATTTATGAGAGTCTCTGTGGACTACAGAGTAGTTGGACTATTTTGTGGCACAAGTGTGCTCTGGCCCCTGTAAGTCTCTATTAATATGTCTAAATAAATAGAATAAGTCAGGCTTGGTGGAATACTCCTGAAATCCGACCTACTCCAGAGAGTGAGTTCAGAGGATCATTAAGTTCAAGGCCAGCCTGGACAACAACTTCCTGTCTGCAGCCAGGAAACAGAGAGATAAATGCTGGTACCTGGCTGGCTTCCTCCTTTTTTTCCTTCTTACTCTGTCTAGAACCCCAGACCATGGGGAGGTGTCATCTACATCAGGGTGGGTCTTCTCTCCACAGTCAAACCTTTCTGGAGGGACTGGGGAGATGGCTCAGTAGGTAAAGTACTTGTGCAGAGTGAGGACCTGAGTTCGGATCCCCAGCACACCCACAGAAGGCATGGTGATACAGGCCTACAACCCCAGTACTGGGAGAGCAGGCAGAGATGGGAGGATCCCCAGAGCTTGATGGCAGCCAAAGTAGTTCAAACAGTGAGCCCCAGGTTCAGTGGGAGAGTGTCTCAATAAATAATTAATTAAATAAAGTAGAGCACAATGGGAAACAAACAACTGATGTTGACTTATGGCCACCATATATGTACACAAGGGCACCCCCCCCACACACACACACAAAAAAAAACATACCAAAAATCTCTCTGGGCACGGTGGTGCACATCTGTAATCTCAACACATAGGAGGCAGAGGTAGGCAGATCTCTCTGAGTCAGCCAGGGCTACATAGTGAGAACCTGTCTCACAAAACAAAACAAAAAGCTCTGAAAATACTGCCAAAGACCCATCCAGAGGTGTGTCTCCTAGGTGATTCCAAATACAGTCAAGTTGACAATACTAACCCCAAGAAGTACCCCTGCCTTGTCAACTTGACACCTAAGCATGTCACTTTTTTTTTGGTCTTTTTGAAGCAGGGTCTCCCTGTAGCCCCAGCTGTCCTGGAACTCACTATGTAGACCAGGCTGGCCTTGAACTCGCAGAGGTCCGCCTGCCTCTGCCTCCCGAGTGCTGGGATTAAAGGCATGTGTCACCATGCCTGGCTCTAAACATGTCACTTTAAAAAAAAAATTATTTTTATTTTATGTGGATGAGTGTGTTGCCTGCATGTATGTGAATGCATCTGTGTCATGCAATGCCATGGAGGTCAGAAGAGGGCTTCAGATTCCCCTGGAACTGGAGTTAAGGATGGTTTGTAGCCACCATGTGGTCCTCTGCAAGAGCAGTCAGTGCTCTTAACTGCTGAGCCATCTCTCCAGCCCCTAAACATGTCACTTTTAACCATAACATTCCACCCTAGTTCTCAAAGGCAAATGGCCATTTCATAATACAAAATGCTTTTAGTTCACCTGTAAGAGTACCCAAAATCTTAATTGTTCTTACATTGTTCAAAAAACAGTTTCCAGGCTGGAGAAATGGCTCAGCAGTTAAGAACACTGGCTGCTCTTGCAGAGGACCTCTGTTTGGTTCCCAGCAACCACATGGCAGCTAATAACCATAACTCCAGTTCCAAGAGCTCCAGTGCCCTCTTCTGACTTCCTTGGGCATTGTACAGCATGGGTGCACTTACATACAGGCAATACACTCATACACATAAAATAAAAATAATAAATAAAATATCAAAAAACCTAGTCTCAGGGCTGGAGAGATGGCTCAGCAGTTAAGAGCACTGGATGTTCTGACAGAGGACCTGGGTTTGATTCCCAGTACCCACATGGTGGCTAACAACTGGCCATAACTCCAGTTCTAGGGGAATCCCACACCCTCTTCAGACCTCGGGCATTGCATGGCACAAGTGCATTTACATACATGCAGGCGATATACTCATACACATTCAAAACAAAACAAAAAAACCTAGTCTTTTCTGAGACTCAAGGCAATCTCCCATCTGTAAATCCCTGTAAAGAAAAAGTAAGCAACCACCAATTAAATACTTCCAATATAGAATGGCACAGGGTAAACATTCTTCCTGTAAAAGAGAGGAATGGAGCATAGCAAAGAAAATGTGGACCAAAGCAAGACCAAAGTCCAGCAGGGCAAACAGCAAGTCCTGCAACTCCATGTCTGGCACTGGGGGCTTGTGACATCATCTGGGCTCCAGTGGGCTTGGGCAGCTGCAGCCCTCCAACTCCACTGTCTACAACCCTGGGAACCTCTCATGACAGCTCCCCTCCATCCCTGTAGTTTCTTTGGTGGGCAGCTCATAGGCTGTGCTCTGGGCATCTACAAAATAGTGGTGTCTTCGTTGCAATTGAAGCTTCACCTTCACAGCTTCATGAAATAACCTACCAGGGCCTCCTTGTGGAGAATCCAACCCTGCCACTCATTGCCTTGTCCAGAAGTTTTCTGGAACCTTGATGTAAGCTTCCATGACACCGTAATGCTTGGCATTCTGCATGCCTGCAAACCAGTACCATGTGGGTGACACTCCCGAATTTGGCTGCTCCATGATTAAATCCCTCTGTAAGCACCCTCACACCCATGTCCAGAGTGTCGCCCAGAAGACTAAATGTAGTCAAGCTATCAGCGATGATTAGTCATCACATGTCCCATAGTATTGATTGAAGTGAAAACAAAAATTTTGGAATGGGGGCTGGAGGGATGGTTCAGTGGTTAAGAGCACTGGCTGCTCTTGCAGAGGACCTGGGTTCGATTCCCTGCACCCATATGGCAGCTACGAACTGTTCTTAACTCCAGTTCCAGGGGAATCCAAAGCCCTCTTCTGACCTCCGCGGCATTGCACGACACGGGTGCACTCACATATATGCAGGCGATACACTCATACACATAAAATAAAAAAAATAAAGTATTTTTTTAAATCTTGAAATAGCATTATTCAGTGTTCTTAGTTGAAGCAACAAGCCAGTAACCTCAGTAAATTAAATAAAAATAAAACAAGGATGTTGGGGGGAGTCACTCCAATCAACCTAGGGAAGATGGAGAACTAGATTGGGAAACTTCAAAGCTGGGGGACCCCAAAACTATAGTACACAGATGGCTGGTGATGGCAACACGGCTATCCTACAGGATGCTCTGTCCACCTGCCCACATCTGGAGCCTGGATGCTGATGTAGAGCCTCTGCTGTGGCCACCTCAACTGTCCACACTCTCACTAGAACGAAGAAAAGCAAAGTGGGAGGGAATAGGTCATAATAACAACACAGCATAAGAAGAAAGGGGGAAATCAAGTGTACCACACTAAATGTAAACAGATAAATTCATGATATTTACAAGAAACATGTTTTTTAAAAAGTAATAAGGCTGGGCATGGTGGTGCATGCCTTTAATCTCAGCACTCAGGAGGCAGAGGCAGGCAGATCTCTCTGAGTTCAAGGCCAGCCTGGTCTCCATAGCGAATCCAGGCCAGCTGAGCCTACAGGGATACCCTGTCTCAAAAACAAACAAAAAGTAATAGAGAGGGGGGCTAGAGAGATGGTCCACGCCTTTAATCCCAGCACTCATGAGCTAGAGGCAGGCAGATCTCTGAATTCAAGGTCAGCCTGGTCTACGTAGTGAGTTCCAGGCCAACTGGAGCTACAGGGAGACCCTGTCTCAAAAAGACAAAAATAAACAAAAAAAGCCCAAAGAGCACTGGATACTGGATACTCTTGCAGAGGATCCAGGTTCCATTCCCAACACCCACATAATGGCTAACAACCATCTGTAACTCCAGTTCCAAGAGATCCAATGCCTTCTTCTGACCTCCATGGGCAATGTGCAATACAGGTGCACTCACATGCATGCAGGCACTACACATACACATAAAATAAAAAATATTTTTAAAAAGGTAATAGGTTCAACGCAAAGGTTCAAACAGACACCAGGAAAATTAAAACTTAAGAAGAAAGTTGTCAGGCATTGTGGCACACACCTCTTTTTTTTTTTTTTTTTTTTTTTGATACAGGGTCTCCTTATAGCCCCAGCTGGCCTGGAACTCACTATGTAGACCAGGCTGGCCTGGAACTCACAGATACTCGCCTGCCTCTGCCTCCCAAGTGCTGAGACTACAGGCATGTGCCACCATGCCAGGCTGGCACATGCCTTTAATCCCAGCATTCAGGAGGCAAAGCCAGGTGGATCTCTGAGTTCAAGGCCAGGCCGCTCTACACAGTAAATTCCAGGTCAGTTAGAACCAGTTAGAACTTCTACATAGTGAGACTCTGTCTCAAAAAAAAAAAAAAAAAAAAAAAAAAAAGCAAGTGCTGGGCATGGTGGTCCACATCTCAATCCCAGCATCAGGAGAACCAAGGTTTCTGTTTTTAGTTTGTTTTGACTTCTATTTTATATGTATGAGTGTTTTGCCTGCATGTATGTAAGTGTACTGTGTCATACAATGCCTGTGGAGGCCAGAAGAGGATGTTGGATACCCTGAAACTGGTTACAGAC